GGGGGGGGGGGAGCAGAAAAAGACACAGCGAGGAGCAGGGCGAGGGTGCGTACCGTCGAGCAGTCGGCCAGCAGGTGCACCAGCGACACGTGCAGGGCCAGGCGCTCGGCCGCCAGGCGCGCCGTCACCGGGTCCCCATCGCGCGAGAGCTCCACCAGCCGGATGACCCCCTCCAGCGAGGGCAGATCCACGAAGCCGGGGGCGGTCAGCTGGCCGGGCGCCGCCAGGCCGGCCGGCAGCAGCCCGGCCTGCTGGAGCTCCGGCAGGATGGACGAGTTCAGCGCCGCCAGGACGATGTCCTGGTTCCGGCGGATGGGCGTGCCGGCCGTCGAGACCAGCGTCCGCAGCAGGGCCACCACGCTCGACCGGTCGGCCATGACCGGCAGCAGGCCCTCCGCCGGGGCGGGCTCCCCCGCCGACCGGGCGGCACCGGCCACCACGCCGAGCTTGGGCCATGCCTCCGGCAGCAGCAGCCCCAACAGCGACAGCAGCGCCGGCTCCGACACGGCCGAGCACAGGGCCGGGCTATTGGCAAACACCCGGGCCAGGGTCAGCAGCGACAGCTGCGCCACCGGCACGCCGGCCAACAGCCGTCCATGGGCCTCGACCGGGGGCCACGCGGGGTCGGCGACCTCGGCGTCGCCCCCGGGGCCGGGCGCCAGGGCCGCCATGCTGCCCAGGTCCACCTGCCGGGGAAGTGGCCCGGCCAGGGCCGACAGCCCCACCACCCCGGCCTGCTCCAGGTCCTCCTCGGACAGGGCCGCGGCCACGACCGACCGGCTGCGCACATGGTGCAGCAGCTCCGGCAGCAGCAGGTCCTCCACATACGGCAGCAGGAGCTTCTGGTTTTGGGCATTCCCCAGGCAGAAGTCCTGCAGGAAGATGTGCACCTGCGCCGCCAGCACCAGCCGATCGTAGGCATTCCCGAAGGAGCCCTCGGTCGAGGGGGCCAGCGGCCGGGGGGTGGACCCCGGCAGCCCGGTCGAGGGCACCGCCGACGTCGCGGCCGCGGCCGCTGCCTTGGCCTTGGCCTTGCTGCCGGCCTTGCCGGCCTTGCCGCCGCCACCGCCGCCCCCCCGAGCCCCGGGGCTCAGGACAAACAGATGCCGCAGGAGGTCCAGCACCCGGTCGTGGATGCCCAGGTACCGGCCCAGGCGCTGCGACGCGCGGTTCACCCGGCTGTAGAGCACCCGCGAGGCGGCCACCACCGGCAGCACGGACTCCGGGTCCACCAGCGGGTGCCGCATCGGCAGGATGTTGGCCAGGCCGTGGTGCATCGGCGGCAGGCGCCCCGACGCGGATCCGGCCCGCCGGCCAAGGACCAGCGCCTCGGACCCGGCCGGCCCGCCGGCCGACCAGGCCAGCGCATTCACCAGCAGATCCGTGGCCGAGGGCGACCGGGCCAACGCCGCGCCCAGCGAGAAGGCCGACGCCTGGAGCCCGGCCCCATCGTGCAAGGCCGGCCCGCCGGGGCCCAGCCCCGGCCCGGTGGCCGGCCCGCCCGCCATCGACGCGCAGATCTTCTGCATGGAGATGGCCGCCATCGAGTAGGACAAATCCCGGAGGTTGGCCAGCGGGGCGCTCACCGGCGACGGGAGCGACCCAAGCCGGGGGCTGGGCGGCGGCGACCGCGAGGCGGCCATGCTGCCGGCCGGCCATACACCCCCGCACATGGCGCGAAGGGCCGGACAGAAGACCACCGAGGGGCAGGGGGTTAGTGACCGGAGCAGGGGAGGGGGGGAGGGGGGGGGGGGAGGGCGACAAAGCCCCCGGACCCGCGGGCAAGGCCAAACATGGGCCCGAAACACCGGCCGGGCCGGGAGAGGGCACATGCGGCACGCCATACGCCAGACACGCCACACACATGTGTGTACATGTATACACATGTACACACATGTATACACATGTACACACATGTACACACACACACACATGTACACACATGTACACACATGTACACACATGTACACACATGTACACACATGTACACACATGTACACACATGTACACACACACACACACACACACACACACACACACACACACACACACGCGCGCACACGCACCTATGCAGGTCGTAGATGAGAGCCACCTTGCCCTTGACCGCCAGGCGCAGGATGTCAATCGAGTCGTGGATCTCATGGTAATTCCGGATGTCCAGGTCGCTGATGAGCAGCTGCACCTGGGCCAGGGTGTGCGCCACCTCGGCATGCTGGCGGAAGTGCCGGAAGAGCATGCGCAGGGCCAGCGACGTGAGCTCCGGATGGTCGACAAACTGCAGCAGGTCCACCAGGATGCGCAGGAGCTCCACCCCGCCCGGGGTCGAGTCCAGGTCCAGCTGGTCATCCCCCAGGCCGTAGTACTCCAGGGCGGGCAGGGTGCCGCGCGAGCGCCGGCTTCCGGAACGCCGGCGCCGTGTGCCGGCCTCCTCCTCGGGGGCCCCGCCCCGCCCGGCCTCCGCGCCGATGGCATACTGGAAGATGGTATTCCGCAGGGCGCTCAGGGATTGCGACGGGCCGCCGGCCGCGGCGGCGCTTTGCAGGGCGCTGCACGAGACACAGGGAAGCGCGCGGTTAGAATATGTCGCAGGCCCGCAGTCAGGCGGACAAACCAGCCGGGCAGGGTCGGGCGTGTGCATGTGCATGAGCATGAGCATGTGTGTGGCTGTGAGCCCCTCCTCCCCCTCCCTCCCCGGCCCCTAGCCCTCGGGGGGAGGCACCCGGCCACGCGCCAGGACGCACCTGAACCTGTCCGGAGCATGTGGGTCCGCCTCCTGGGACACGCGACGCCCGGCACGGAAGGGCAGGCGCTGCGGGGCGCCCGACCGACCGGCCCCCGACGGCCGGGACTGCATCCAGCCGGGGGCATTGGCCAGCGGGTCGGCCGGTGGGGCGACCGGTGCCGCGGTGCCGGCAGCCCCGCCGGCGGACTTGGCCTCGGCCGCTGCCAGGGCCGCCGATTCGGCCGCCGCCGCGCGCGAGATCACCTCGGTCAGCATCTCCAGCGACCGGTCGGCCGAGGCGCCGAACAGCTCCGGCCCCTGGAGGAGACCCCCGGGGCTGGGGGGGGCGTCCTCCCGGCCGGCAGCGATGCCCCCCGCGAGCGGGGCCAAGGGGATGGCCTCCGGCCCATCGGACTGGCCGTCGCCCGGGCCGGTGGACATGGCCGGGAGGAGCGGCAGGAAGCGCCGCCGCGAGGACCAGCCCGGCGGGGCCGGCCCCGAGTCGGCGCCCGACCCATTGACCCCGGCACCCGGGGCAGCCACCAGCCCGGGCCCCGACTCGGACCCATGGAGCAGGGGGAGGTGCTCGCCGGCGGAGGCCGTTCGAGCGATGCCGGCCGACTCGTCCGCCGGCGAGGGGGGACTTCCATCAGTGACAGCGGCGGCCCGGCTGCCGGCTCGCAGGGAGGCCGGCAGGATGGAGGCAAAGCGCGAGCCGCTGGCCCCGGGCCCGGCCGCCGCCGAGGCCGGCACCGCGCGCCCCGGCAGGTAGGCCTCCAGCACTTGGGACTTGAACTGCGACAGGGACACCGACACCCGGTAGTCCACGCGCACGTCGCAAATGAAGTCCAAGATCTCCAGCACCCGGGCCTTGACCGAGAGCGCGATGCCAGACAGCCCCGGGTGCGAGGACCCCACCGGGATGACCACGCGCCGGGAGGCGGCGCATTCGCACAGCGGCCCCCCGGCAACGCCGGTCAGCCGTCGGGAGACTGGGGAAAGGAAAAGCCGAGGCGACCGCAGGCGGGGCCAGAGGGGAAGGGATCAGGCCACGGCATGGGGTCAGACAAAGAGGCGCGAGACCAGGCGCCCACACCCCGGGGGGGGGGGGGGGGGGGGG